TTTATATAGATGTATGTATCGTATTTACATGAGGGAAAAGAGAGAATAAGAGAGAAAAATCCGTGCACACACAGTCATTAACAGCAATCATCGACAGTGCGTGATCGTGCGAGATAAAAAAATACTCAAGATATTTATTGCAGTAAAACGAGAGAACTTATTTGATAATCAATAGAATAATACCTTCTCAATACATCTATAAAAACATATATAAACTCTTCTTTCCAGACCAGAATCTTTTCTGATGAGTGATGACAAATTGGAAATGACGGTGCCTTCAACTGGCAATGATGACGACAAATTGAAAACGAATCCATCGCCATCTCCATCTCCGCCTTCTTCAACACCACCTCCAGCAACAACACCAGTTGCATTAACAAAATTTGGTTCATTAGCCAATCGTATTCTTTCACCGAGCAATATTAATTCATCGCCAACATCATCGTCTTCACCACATATTTCACCGATCAAATCCTCATGTAATTCTTCGTCGTCATCGACCCGACGAACTTTTAACATCTGTGATATTCTTGCCAAACCCACATCAACACCAGCATCATCCGTCGACAGTAATAATAATACGCGTCTTAATCATTTAATTAAAAAACCGAAAGCTCATCGCCTCAACGAATACACCAAACTTCTTCTCGAACAAAAAGCCAATCATTTACATGAGAAAAATAATCTGAAAATAAACAAAAAATCGATTTATTCACATTCAGATAATGACGATGACGATGACGAAGATGAAGACGACGAGCATCATGGTTCAATCAGTGATTGTGATGTATCAGGTAGGACACAGACGATTTGATCTAGATGAAAAACTGAAACTTGCTTTTCTATGTTAGATGGATGTCTATCCGAAGCAGGTGATAAGACACATGATGATGATTTAAATGCATCAATCAGTGATGGCGATAAATCGAAGTCATCGTCAACGAGTTCATCAACAACCGATAAACCATCAAAACCACGTCGCGCGCGAACAGCATTTACTTATGAACAATTGGTAGCATTAGAAAACAAATTCAAACAAACGAGATATCTATCCGTTTGTGAAAGGCTTAATTTGGCTTTATCACTATCGTTAACCGAAACTCAAGTTAAAATTTGGTAGGAAATCATTGCTATTCGCTGTTCGAGCAACGATCTATCATTTCTCTTTTCTTAAAATAATGTAGGTTTCAAAATCGTCGAACAAAATGGAAAAAACAAAATCCTGGTCTGGATGTCAATTCTCCAACAATCCCAACAACATCCAATTCATCTTCAGTTGGCCTACATTCGGCTGCTGCTGCAGCTTACGTCGCTTGCGCAGCTTCATTTTATAACTCGCAACAACAGGTCGGAGGTTCTTCATCAAATTCTTCAGCAACAAGTGCTTATCCACTTATATCACCACTCTATGCTGCATCATTGTATGCTAATGCTCGAAAATTTACTTGACATATATTAGATAAAACTGATATATACATATATGCATATAAATATTCTCTGTCGNCTCTCCCTCGTCTCTCTTTCATTCTCGCACTATGTCTCATTTTATTGACATACACTGTTGCAAATTTAACATCCACATATGTATGGCATCGACGAGCTCAATCAATTGCTTTTTTCTTTTTCTTCTTCTTCTCCTCTATCGTATTTTTCTCTTTCGCGCTTGCTCTCTCGCATATAAATGGTCTGCTAAATTGCCGAGAGAATTGCTGCTATTAGTGCATGTGTTTCGGCGAATGGGAAAAAAGGACTCTCTCGCTTACTCGTTCGTTCCTTGTCGATGCTCGCTTACACACACGGGTATCATAATCATAATTTGCTAGTATATAGATGTATAATCGCTCCGATGTGTCTTTTCGTTGATGGGTGTTGAGACTTTCTCTCCCTCTCTCGTTTTCTGTTTCTCTCTTGTTCGGTCTTATTCACTCTCTTTATATAGATGTATGTATCGTATTTACATGAGGGAAAAGAGAGAATAAGAGAGAAAAATCCGTGCACACACAGTCATTAACAGCAATCATCGACAGTGCGTGATCGTGCGAGATAAAAAATACTCAAGATATTTATTGCAGTAAAACGAGAGAACTTATTTGATAATCAATAGAATAATATCTTCTCAATACATCTATAAAAACATATATAAACTCTTCTTTCCAGACCAGAATCGTTTCTGATGAGTGATGACAAATTGGAAATGACGGTGCCTTCAACTGGCAATGATGACGACAAATTGAAAACGAATCCATCGCCATCTCCATCTCCGCCTTCCTCAACACCACCTCCAGCAACAACACCAGTTGCATTAACAAAATTTGGTTCATTAACCAATCGTATTCTTTCACCGAGCAATATTAATTCATCGCCAACATCATCATCTTCACCACATATTTCGCCGATCAAATCCTCATGTAATTCTTCGTCGTCATCAACCCGACGAACTTTTAACATCTGTGATATTCTTGCCAAACCCACATCAACACCAGCATCATCATCCGTCGACAGTAATAATAATACTCGTCTCAATCATTTAATTAAAAAACCGAAAGCTCATCGCCTCAACGAATACACCAAACTTCTTCTCGAACAAAAAGCCAATCATTTAAACGAGAAAAATAATCTGAAAATAAACAAAAAATCGATTTATTCACATTCTGATAATGACGATGACGATGACGAAGACGAAGACGACGAGCATCATGGTTCAATCAGTGATTGTGATGTATCAGGTAGGACACAGACGATTTGATCTGAATGAAAAACTAGAACTTGCTTTTCTATGTTAGATGGTTGTCTATCCGACGCAGGTGATAAGACACATGATGATGATTTAAATGCATCAATCAGTGATGGCGATAAATCGAAGTCATCGTCAACGAGTTCATCAACAACTGATAAACCATCAAAACCACGTCGCGCGCGAACAGCATTTACTTATGAACAATTGGTAGCATTAGAAAATAAATTCAAACAAACGAGATATCTATCCGTTTGTGAAAGACTTAATTTGGCTTTATCACTATCGTTAACTGAAACTCAAGTTAAAATTTGGTAGGAAATCAGTGCTATTCGCTGTTCGAGCAACGATCTATCATTTCTCTTTTCTTAAAACAATGTAGGTTTCAAAATCGTCGAACAAAATGGAAAAAACAAAATCCTGGTCTGGATGTCAATTCTCCAACAATCCCAACAACATCCAATTCATCTTCAGTTGGTATACATTCGGCTGCTGCTGCAGCTTACGTCGCTTGCGCAGCTTCATTTTATAACTCGCAACAACAGGTCGGAGGTTCTTCATCAAATTCTTCAGCAACAAGTGCTTATCCACTTATATCACCACTCTATGCTGCATCATTGTATGCTAATGCTCGAAAATTTACTTGACATATATTAGATAAAACTGATATATATAAATATATATATGCATATAAATATTCTCTGTCGTCATTTTGTTTACGTCTGTACGTTTTCTTTTTCTCATTTCTTTTTCTTCTTCTTTTGTTCTTCTTTACAATTTTTTTTTCTATACAGTTGATTCATTTGTCGTATATGACGAATATAAAGAAATATATAGACAAAAAAATGATGATGAGTGTCATGTTTGACAAGAATTTGTGAAAACAGCGGCGACACCGATTAACATTCAAGAGTATGCTGAATAACACCATATTGGTATGATACATATCATTGAAATGCCATTCTCTTTCGATAATATAACTAAATTTGTCTATATACGAGCAATCAAGTAATCGAATTTGTTCGTTAGATAGTATTATCTTTTGTCTTTCGATGATGAGCAAGATGATCAAGAAAAATTTGTTGAGTAGATGTGTGATGAGCGACGTTAGCTTTACTTTGCATGATATACTAGTAGATAGCATTCGTCTTTCTTCTCCACCCTGTGTGCAAGTGCGTGTTTCTGATAACACTATATACATATATATATTTGCAAGGATAAGGCCAATCGGATACGGATTGGGAATAGAAGAAACTCTACGAGAAAGAAGAGAAGAAATCTTAACTATCGTGTCTGTCCGATTAATACATGAATTATCCGTACAATTGGGAGAGGAAAAAGAGCAAAAGTCAGTAGAAAAAAGAACTGACCATAATTGCTTCATTATCGAGGTTTTATTATATAGTACATATAACAACAACACTTGTGTGTATGTATATATATACATCTATATCTGTTCCTTCTCTCTCA